CTGAGCGGCCCCGGGTCCGCTGCTGCCCGCAGTGCCCGCCGAGGCGTGCGATGCGCCCGACGGCGAGCGCGCGTGCTGAAATATCGGTCGTGTCATGCTACTACCATCACCGCTCCCGCTACATGCGCTCCCGACGGTTGCTATTGCGCCCGGGCTGCCGGCGCCGCCTCCGCTGCTGCTGCCGCAGCCACTCAGATCTGTCAGGCTGCTAGCCAGAAAAGTGACGTCGCGCGCCGACCGGCTCACGCCGCCTGCCGGCGAGGTTGTGCCCGATCCGCTCTCGGTCCAGTACTGCTGCTCCTCCCAGACGCGGTCCAGATCGAGTGAGTTCTTTTCCGAGTTGGACGACAACTTTTTTAATATGGGCTTTACCACCATCCTCCTCCCCTTGGTGATTTTGTTGTGGTGGCTGCTGCTGCTGCTGCTCCCAGATATGATCTTGCCTCCTCTTTCGGCTCCTATCCACGCGCCCGGGCTCGACGCCATGCCGGAGCTACCCATTGTGTGTGTGTGTGTGTGGGTTGTGAAGGTAGGTACAGGTCTCGAGGACGCGTGCCTATATTCCCGCTCCTGCGGAGGCCCCTCGTGCCACCGTTCGGCCCGGGCAAAAAAAAAAAAAAAAAAAAGAACGCACCCGAGCTCTCGTTTTTGTTGTTCGCTCGCGCTGTTGAAGTCAAGATGAGTCGTGACGATCGGGATACGTGGACGGATGGTTGGCGACTCGGGCAGGCCGGGGTCAGGCGCAGCCCCTTCTCCAGAAGCGACGGATTCGCAGGAATAGAGGCGTGGTCCGTCGAGAAGATAGGATGGGGAATGGAGGAGTGTTGATATTGATAGGGTGTGTGTGGGTGCACCCGCTCGCTCGGCTGCGTTTGGCTGGCGGTGAGGCGTATGCTCAGCACAGCTTTAGCGTGGGAGGCGTTGGTCGGTGGCAGGGTGGGTGGCAGAGACTTGTTCGGCCTTGGGAGTGTTCCGGGCTTTGCCTCCTCTAGCCAGGCTCACAATGGTGGCAGCGATAGACAGAGACAGAGAGAGAAAGGGAGATGGAGAGTTTGAGAGTAAGAAGACACAAGGCGGAGGTGGCAGTGGTGTTACCGTCAGCCTGTGGCTCGGCGGAGGGAATGGGATGGGTTATGTAACTGTCGAGCGCAGGTCGGGTCTGGGAGGCGGCCTGTTGGTCTCGTCGACAAGGATGCTTGATGGACGGGAAACCCCTCAGCTCTTGTCGCGGCCCATGTCCATGTCCGCCACGGCCATCCCAGTCCGCCAATATCCGGATCCGCCCTCGTTTCGATTGACGGGCTGATTACTAGGCGGCCAGGTTGCGCTTGCTTGCTTTCCCGGCAGCTGGGTGGGATGGATGAGATGCCGATGCTTTCGTTTCCGCTTCTTTCGCTTCTCCAAATAAAGAACAAGGCGTGTGCAGCGAAAGACCAGACTAGACGCAGAGCTCGAGCGTCCGACGGCCGCAAAAGAAACTCCTTTGGTGTTGCGTCTCTTTTTTTTTGTTGCGCTTTTTTGTAATTGATACGTCCCTTTT